GAAGGTGATTTAGCTCGACCATATTAGCAATTGAACTCAAAAATGGCAAAACTCAAACATCCTTTTGCAGAACCAGCACCAAAAAGGAGAAATTCTCCAAGGGACAGGAATGAAGCATGTTGAAAAAGCAAATAACATGTGGTAACTCAAACAATTAAAACAAACAAAAACATGAAGATGATTTAGCTCAACCAATAGTAGCAATTTAACTTGAAAATGACAAAACTCAGAAATCCCATTGCAGAACCAGCACAAAAATTAAGGGAATTCTTTTCAAGGAACAAGAATAAAGCATATTACAAAAGTAATAGCATATGGTAACACTTTCAGTTAACAGCATGAATTTTGTATTGTAAAATCAAAAAAAAATCCCAATTTTCAAGAATCAATGACCAAACTAGATTCAACAAAAAGCACCGATCTTTTCAAGAAAATTTAAGCCAATGGTAAGAGAAAACAAAACTCACAGATATAAAAGAGCAAACTTTCACGAAATGAGAGATAGAAAAACTCAAACAAAGAACATAACAGATAACAATTCCAATTTTCAAAACAAAGACAATAACAACAAAACTACAAGTGGGGTCTCGAGAGGGTAAAACGTATGTAAACCTTATCCCTACCTTTGTGTGTAGAGAGGCTATTTCCGATAGACCCTCAACTCATTAGATCATATTGCAAAAGCAATAGCATATAGTAACACTAACAATTAACAGCACAATTCATATTGTAAAAGAAAAAAATCCAATTTTCAAGAACATCAACACAAACAAAAACATGAAGGTGATTTAGCTCAACCAATAGCAACTTAACTCAAAAACAGCAAAACTCAAAAACCCCATTGCAGAACCAGCACAAAAAAAAAGAAGGGAAATTTTCCAACAATAAAACATATTACAAAAAGCAATAGCATATGGTAACACTAACAGCTAACAATTAACACTTAACAGCACAAAATTCATATCTGTGGTATTCAGACCAGCTTTCGCACACCTCAACTAATTCCACTGATACCTCTCAATCACCTCATTGATAGGCCACCACACAAATTCATATAAAAAAAAACCCAATTTTCAAGAATCAATAACCAAACTGAATTCAACAAAAAGATTCAATCTTTTCAAGAAAACCTAAACCAATGATAGAGATAACAATACTAAAAGATATAAAGAAGCAAACTTTATTGAATTAAGATATCAAAAACACTGAAATAAAGATTAAAATACAAAAAGAGATGAAGATGAAGAAGAATACCTGTGTAACTGAAGAAGAAGAATGAGTTACAGGCGCTGTATTTAGCTATCTTTTTGCCCTAGCTTTTGTTTCACCTCACCAAACAAAGAGAAAGGCAAATTAGAAAAAATTGGTAATTTTGCTTTGTTTAGTCAAAGAACTAAAATAATTAAACTATATTATAGTAATAAATAACAAATCTAAAAAAAATAAATTCTCAAAATTTGAGTTTTGGGATTTCATAAATAACGTGATATACTTTGTGCACTCGATGATTTATAAATAGTACTTGTAACTCGTAAGTTTCCGATATGACCAAAAAAATAATCCTTATCGTATTTTTTAATTTTGTTCTTTTACTTGGTAATCGATATTGCTATTAAAATTTAGATAAATTTAAATGCACGATAATAATAATAAGACACATGAATAATCTATAAATATATTTTTTTTCAGATTATTTATCAATCTAAGTTTGTATTTCGAATTGCATAAATAACATGATATACGTTATACATCTTATCATCTTTTAAGATTAGAATCCTTCGTAATCCTATATAGTGTTTGTAAGTGTCAAATATGACCAAAAATAGAAAATCTTTATCCTACTTTAATTTTATCTTTGACGTGATGTTTGATATGTATATTAAAATTCGGATAAATCTAAATTCACACAAAAAATTCATATATGGGTAAAGCAATTCATGAGTAAGGCGATTTCATACTCAATAAGGTACAAATTCAAAATGTCTAATTAAAAAAATATATTTAACACTACATCGCAATTACTATACTCTGCTTACCTATATAATATGTCTTTATACACTAAAATTAATCAGTAATATAATATGTATAAGACATAACTTGATCTTATCTAACATCTATATCTTTCAATCTTGTGTATGAGCACAAGTAGTCACTTAAAATTTGTATATATATAGCTGACACGTGTCCTATTTAACAATTTGCATCCTATATGACATTCTACATATATTATATCATATAGGACACATATATTTACTTGTTTAAATATGTATAAATTTAAGTGTTTATTTATATATATTCAAATTAAAAGATGTAAATATTAATTGATATCAAATTAAAGCACATATTTACGTATTATATGTTAATGGAATATCTTCTTAGAGGAAAACATTAATAATTTTTTTGGTGGGTTGTTGGCTGCTTTTGTTTCTTTTGGTCCAAATGGTATTACTGGAATGGGCTTTTTGGGCCCAATGGTAAACTGGATTGGGCTTCTTAGGCCCAATGATATATTGAAATTCCAAAAAAGAATTCATTTTTGTTTATACATAATACAATTCCAATTTTGACTGTCATTAATTATGTAAAATTATTTTATATATATCTTATAGTGTTAAAAGTTAATTATATCTTATTCTGCTTTTTATTAAATTATAAAAATCTATTAAATTTGGTGGAATTCGAATCTTGGTACCAAAGCATCTTGGTACATCATATTTCGATTTCGAATACATCCCTCAACGTCCTGATACATCGCATCTCGATTTCGTATACATCACTCAACGTCCCGATACATCAAGTACGTCCCTATACATGAAATATAGATTGACTCTCCCACCCTTTTGACAATATTTTTTTGCACTTGACATCGATGTTTGAACCTTGCCGATCATCACTTCATGTTATATCAAGATGTTATAAATGAATCTTACTACCAACTCAAATAATAAATTAAAAATCGAACAGTTCAAATGAAAAAGTTTGATATTGTCATAAAATTTTATATGGACTAAATTTTATAAATTGAAGATTTCTCACTTATTGGAGATAATAAATAAAGTGTTTGTTGAGGAAAAAAAAAATTGAACATTTGCTAGATAATAATGTTAGACAAATATGAGTGAAATGTTTTTGATTTTTTGAAATTACTTAGACTGACAACATGTGCTAAGCCTAGATGTTGACAAGCCAATACAAAGTACTACTATAACACAAGTACACCACTAAATTCACTACCCTAAAGTGAATAAAGCTTCAAAAAATTACTTTAGTCTTTTTGGAAAATAAATTATTTTAACTTCCAATTATTTACTACATATCTATTTGAGCAAGAAATAAAAGTTGGAAAAGATCACATAATAAAACGACTATATCAGCGTGGGTTGTGATGCACTGGTGAAAGTGTTTCATCCTTAATCAGAAGTTTCGAGTTCGAGCCTTGGGTATACAGATAATTTTGTTGGGAGCGTCACCCCCCATGCAGAGCGCAATTCAAATTTGATCGGATTTCTAATGTGGACAATGAAAACTGAGTAGGAAAAAAAAAGTAAAATGGCTATAGAAATATATTAGTAGTTCTGATAACACCTTAAATTTCATTCTACTTATCACAATTATATGCCGATAAAATATAAATTCTGAATTCAGGTTACTGAAAATGAAATTTGTTTTATTGATCGAAGGCAACACTTTTGAAAATTGACTCTGCTGAAATTCAAAATTTACTTAAATTTTAATACAACTATCGGATACTCAGGTTGTGAATCCACCCTGATAAAGAAACGTGAGACCTTTTTAAATAGGGAACTAGATAGAAAAGCATGTTAAAGAATGATTAAGTGTTTATAAATATTATTCATAGACAATAATTTATTATCGGAATGATTTCAAATATGTATCGAAAATCTTGCATTTGATATCAGTGTTCTCTATTTGACGTTCAATTTTTACAGCAAAACTTGATTAAATCTATATTTGTCTCAAAAAAATTAATATTGAGTCTCGATTAACTAGAAATACTACTTATGCTTGTAATATTATAGCACTATCAGGTGCAAATAATATATTATAATCATACTTGTAAAATCGTAATTTATACTGAGAAGTCTAATAGATAATAATTAGATAAGACATTCATATTATTATGAATGAGACTAAGCTAACTATGGTAATTAGCTTGATTTGTAATTGTGATTTAGGTGATTAATGAAAAAGTTAATTACCTAACAAAAATATTTTAATTTTTTTTTCAAAAAAAAAAGTAGAAAAATATTGTGGACCATATATAATATTTTAAAGTTGATTTTTTTTTGGTTTCTGAAATCACCTGGACTGACAACATGTGTAAGTTTGGACTGTGACAAGCCAATACAAAGTACTACTACATCATAACACCACTTCACTTCATATAATAAATTAAAATAATCAAACATAAAAATGTGTCAAAACAAATTTAGAAAGTTTAGGAAAAATGTACGGTATCTCCTTAATCTATGTTCGAAATTTCAGGAACATATTTATATTTTATTGAGGTTCTATTATTTTTTGAATTTATTTTATAAGTAATTTTCTATCCCTTTTCGATTTACGTGATGTTAGGTTGAAAAAAAAATCAATCGGCGTTGGCTCCACAAGTTAGTGTTATGTAGGTCGAAAAGAGGTAGAAAATTACTTATAAAATAAGTTCAGGGGTAATAGGACTTTAGTATAATATAAGTGTGTCTGAATTTCGGATATAGATTGAGAGAGTACTTGTACGTTATCCCAAAAGTTTATTATTTTCTCCATCTCAAAATAAATATCCTTATAATTAAAATAAAATAATATCTCAGTTATTTATTTTAGAAATGGCTAATAATTACTATGAACGAATACGAGTGTGAATCAATTTAGCAAAGTAACATGAAGTATATGTAATGATATGAATATGAATTAGTCAGATTCTAATAAGCATATATCTCGAACATTAAATAGAATATAAAAGAAATCAAGAGTAATAATAATAAAGAAAGAAGAATATTTTCATTTATGGCTTAAATGTGAAAATATTTTTAATAATATTATATATATTTTTTTTTACAAATTATTTACCATATTTTTAATTATTATTACATGTCACTCTTTTGAGAGGGACTTCTCCAAAATCCAGCCCCATAAAATTTACTCCACATTTCCTTCTCCAACGCCACCACATCTTTATCGGATTTTAAGCTATTGCCGCCGTCAACCACCGCAAGTGTGGTGGCTCCGTCGATGTGATGAATCGAAAGATCTGAATCATCACAGCTACTACATTGTGATTGTAGAATCTTCTTTTTCATTAACCGGCGACGGCGTTTTCTTCGTAATGCTTTCCGGCAAAGACCCGCCGGAAGTTTGTAAATCGCCATTACGAGGAGGTTAACGAGTCCACATGGACAACAACAGCAAACGGCGGCGCATTCCGCTGTTGTTCCGCCGGCGACCTCTGCTAATCGTGCTTTTCGAACACCACCTCGTGATGATGTGTCTTGGTTTGATAACAGAGGTTGACGGCGACGATCGATTGAAAGGGATGAAGGTGCACGCAGCACTATTTGCTTTGTCATTAATTCGATCGGAAGTTATGGTTTCTCTCCGCCTCTCTAGCCGGAAAATTGAATAAATAAACAGCCCCTTTGACGGAAAATCAAACAAGCAGCCTCTCGCCGGAAAATTAATTAAGCAACCCCTTGTCGGAAAATTAAGGAAACAGCTCCTCGCCGGATAATTAAGCAGCCTTGACGGAATAATTAAGCAAACAGCTTCTTGCCGGGTAATTCAGCAGCCCCTTTACGGATAATTTATCAAACAGCTCCTTGCCGGAAAATTAATCAAAGGGGCACCTCGCCGGGAAATTAAGCAAAGGAGCACCTCGCCGGGAAATTAAGCAAAGGAAACACCTCGCCGGAAAATTAAGCAAAGGAGAACCTCGCCGGAATTTTAAGCAAGCAACACTTCTCCAGATAAATAAGCAGCCCCTTGCCGGAAAATTAAGCAAACAGCTCTTCTCTGGAAAATTAACCAGCTCCTTACCGGAAAAATTAAGCAAACAATCCCTCGCCGGAAAATGAAGCAGCTTCTCGCCGGAAAATATAGACCTTACACACCTCGCCGGAAAATGAAGCAGCCTCTCGCCGGAAAATATTTCAAGAACCCCACCCAACCAAAAATCAGATTGGGTGGGTGGGTGGGTGGTGGAGGAAGGAGAAGGAAATGGAAGTCACCGGAGAAGATGAACGGAGAGGCATTTGTAGGCAAAAAAAAATTTTAAAAATCAAATAAGTAGGCAAAATATAAATATTTCAAAAAAAAAATTGATTTTTTTTAATTTTTAGTTAATTATATTGTGAGCTTAAGCTTATCCTTCTCCTAATCTTTTGCTGTTTTTCTTCTAAATAATAATAATAATGAAAATAATATTAAATAAAAAATGTTGAAAAATAATTATATAAATTTGTGGAGGAGAGAAAAATGAGGAGATTTTAAAGGTGGGAAGAATGGGATTTGGTCTTATATTTATAAGGATATGTTAATGGTATGAGGTGTAATAAAAATGGCGGGAAAATTAACGGTACTCTCGATAGTATTTATGAATAAATTTAAAATCATAGGTTTATCGAGTAAATATAATTATTTCGATCCTAGGAGTAAGGACAATGGATGGAGGAAGTACTAATATCACAATTTTATTTTAAGAGTTTTGTTTTTATATAATCGGTATTGATTCTATTTTTATGTGGTGAATGTTAGTCTGAGTATATTTTGATTAATTTCCGAGGAAATTGATTATTTTCATGGGTAGAATATATATATTGAGTAACTTTATTTATATATATATATAGTTGGAGAGATGATTAGAAGAATTAATCTAATATTATTTTGCCTCAGACTGAAATTTGAATATGGAATTTCGTGATCCGTAAACAATTGGTGATCGCTAGGTTGCACACTCTCGTTACGCTATTGACAACGTCTTTCTTCGATTTGTAAAAAAAAAAAGATTGACACATTTATATATTAAAAAAATAATTTAACTTTAAATTTTTAGTTTCATAATAGCTTTACGTAAATGTCATGACATTTCTAAAGTCATAAATTTAATAAAGTTATTGGGATTTATATTAAAACGCGATGAAATAATTGAAATATTTCCATCATTTATCGCAAAAATTTTAAATATGAATTTCGAGGTTAACTTCTTGATAGAAAAAATTATTGTCGATACAGAATCTAGCTTACATGAATCAAGTTTAGCCGCCTCTATCTATAAGTTATTCAAGATACTTTTAAAGATAAATTTAAAAAATGAATTTATTCACAATGCATATTTACACTAAATCATATCAATCTGTTATTATTGAGTGATTTGATAAAGTGAAAAATATAATCATAATCAAATAAAGGAGTTTGTATATATATATATATACATAGAATACATTATTAATTTGACGTAAACACAATTATCAGATATACACCCCACCCCGGGGGTCGATAGGGTCGAGGGTATGTTGGATTAGGAGACAAAATACGTGTGAAAATTCAAGGTGTCTTTAGAGGAAGACTATCAACTAAAATTGTTGGTCCCTCCAAGTTGTTTTAGGGTTATGTATACATGAACCAAAAAAAAAACAAATTATAAATTAATACAGTCAGGTTTCTCTATAATAATTATTCTTTTATTAAAATATTTGATCATAATGATATTTTTCGTAAAGTTAACTTTTCATTATGTGATTTCTGTATATTATATTTAAAAAATATTCATACAAACAATATCTTTATAAAGAGATTTGACGTATAAGATATCCCTCTTTGTTTTATTTCCATAGGTAAGATACTAAGATATTTTGTTATAATTTATAACTAAATGTTAAAGATATTTGAATGATTAATTTTTTAAAAAAATCATTTTTTTTCTTGGTGATATATAAAATCATTGAGTATATAATGATATTTGTGGTTTACATGGAAAATAAGAGGTCAAAAATGAATGGCTAAAAATTTATTTGCATCAAATATTTATAATCAATCAAGTATGTATGTGACGTGTGTTTATATATATGTGTTTGTTTGTTAAATAATCATAATTAAATAATATTTATATTTTACTATAATAAGTAGGTCAATGATAGTGAATTTTGTTGATTTAATTGTAAATATATCATGTAAGAATAAATAATTATAATATAATAAAACCTTCTCATATTTTTTAATTAAAACTTCTTTTTTTGTTTGACCTTTGAAAATTTAAAGAGATTATTATAAGTAAAGGGCCGTAGTACTGCAAAGTGCAAATTATTTTCCCATTAGAAAATGAAAAAAAAATAAGAATATTCCTTAATCCATGTGTTAATGATAATGCTAGTTTATTAATATGAAAAATACATCTTAACAACATTTTATTAAAATAATTATAGCTTAACCTAACACACAATAAAATAATATTTCCTAATTAAGAAGTGGAATTAAATTTCAAATGTCAAAGACACTAATATGGTGAGAAAAAAGATTAAATATATTAAAAGTTTAGAATTATATATACACGAATTTAATTATACGTCATACTCATAAGATCATTGAAATTTTTTATTCAAATTTCAATTATTTTCTTACGTCTATTGATTATTTTTTAAAAAAAATTCTAAGTTTAGGAAAATTGACATTGATATTTTCCATTAGAAAATTTTAACCTATAAAATAAATCCATTTTATCATATAAAATTTAGAATTTATAGTTTTATACTTCTTAAAATTTATTAAAGCAATAATTAAACAATTAGTCTAAATAATATACCTATCTTCTTGAAATTTTGATTTATTAGAAAACAATTTAACTAAGCTATCAACAAAAGACGTAGAGGAAAAATTTAATCTTTTCTTGGGTTTGTCTATTTATTGAATTGCGGGTAAAAAAAAAAATATACGTGAAAATTTAAATTCAGATAAAAATAGATATAAAAATTCATATCAACGTGTAGCATAGTTAGAAGAGTCAAATATCAAGATAAAATAAACGAATACGAACAGTCTAATATCCAAACTAATTAATCAGACTACGATAATTACTTCACTTATTATTTTAATATTAACTATCTATTCTGATTACGTAGTTATAATCCTTCTGGATTATTTCTTCAAATTATTACTAGAAAAAACAAAGGATATATATATATATATATATATATA